CCTAGACCACCAAGCAAGTTGCCTCATCCCTGCTCCCCTACAGCATACGGTGGACCTCCAAATCGCAACATCACGGTGGCCTTCCGCTTCAGCTCCTTATTTTCCGCCTTTAGCACACTTATCTCTGCTCGCGCATCCTTATACATGCGTTGGAGCAGAGCCAGTTGGGCGTTTAACTGTTGCTCCTCATTGGTCCTACTCTGAAGCCGGTGCGACAAGTTTGTGACCGCCGTCATGGTCTCCACACATGACTTCAAAGTATACTGATTGGCCTCAATATCAGTTTGCACCGCCATTTTTTGCTCCACAGACCGCATCGGAAAGTTCAACGCGAGCAAAACCAGAGGTGTTTGGTTGAGGTTCACTGACCACCGCACCAGTTATTTCTCTTGTGGACTCGTTCAGGCCTGGAAAGAGCGTGAGCAGACCACGGGAAGAGGAGGCCATGTTCTGGGTAGCTGGACGGGAAGAAGAGGCCATGTTTTTTGGGTTGCTGAGTGTTTCAGCGAAGCAGCGATTCCGACTGGTACTTTCAGAGAAGACTGGGCAACAGAGTGTTACAGCGTATCTCTCTCAGAAAAAGAAGAGTTTTTCAGAGGATTTTAGCAGGTTTTTTTGTCTCAGCCTCTGCCTCAGCCTCAGCCTCCGTCTTGGTTAAATAGCCGAGACAGACACGCACATCGCGCGCCACTTGACGCCAGACGACAAAACGGCGCGCGCAAGCCAATGTGGTCACGCGTCTCGCCATCATGTCCGGCACACCTTTTTATTGGAAATGGGCACGCCTTTTGATGGCACGCCCCTTTTATGGATTTGGCACGCCTTTTGACAGATTGGGCACACCTTTTTGAAGGTGCGATTTTTCATGGGTCCGACAAGACTCTGTAACCAACTGATCCCGACATTGATTCCGGTTAGTTTCTACAAGGGTCCAGCAAGACTCCGTAAACTGTCACAACAACTGTCACAGCATTGTCTGCTACAGATTCCGGTTAGATTTTTTATGGGTCCGACAAGACTCTGTAAACTGTCCCGACATTGATTCCGGTTAGTTTCTACAAGGGTCCAGCAAGACTCCGTAAACTGTCACAACAACTGTCACAATATTGTCTGCTACAATGGTCCGACATGACCCCATAAACTGTCATCTACATCGGTCTGCCATAACCATACAGTCTTCTACAACGGTCTGACACGACCATACAGTGTCTCCAATCCTTTTTTATTTTATGTATTCGTCTATTTTCTTGTTTTGTTAGTCTCTCCAAACTCAAGTTGGTTAGTTCCTATCCCCCTTGAGTTTGCGGGGGGCTGTTAAAATGTACCAAAACCTACCACTACACCTACTCCACCCACTTCACCTACTACTCCACCTACTACATACTTACCTCCTTTAATGTTCTATATATAGGACTCATTGTAAACATAACAAACATCAATCAATAATACATACAATTTATTCTCTCTCTATCAATTTATTTTTACAGTTACAAATGATATGATCCTCACACTCGCAAAGTGTATGTTAGTATGGATGTCACTTTCCGTGAATCTGCGTCCTTTCCTTCTCCTCCGCCATCTCCTCTGAGGGAGAGTAGTAGTGGTATGGATGAAATTGTGGATAAGGAGATGGCCTATTAGCACAAGTTATCTTTTTTCCTTCCAGTCAGCAGACTGTTATTTGTGGTGAGGGGGAGCTTAATAGTTCTCTTGATGTGGAGCTTGACATTGGTGGTCGTTTGGACAAGATTGATCTCAAGACTTATTCTCGGCGTTCGAAAGAGCAAGCTTCCCTTGTGCCACCAAACCCATCATCATCTCTCATGCCAATTCCAAGTAATGCATCTCAGTCTATTCCTTTATCAGTAGTTAAGAGTCCTGTTGTCAATGATTTGAGTCTTCCTATTGCTCTTAGAAAAGGGGTTAGGGCTTGTACTCGACACCCCATTTCTAAATTTGTCATATGATTCATTGTCTTCTACATATCGTGCTTTTTTTTCGTCTTTGTCTCCTGCATGTATTTCCCAGGGTTGGAAGGAAGCTATCAATGATCCGAAGTGGAAAGTAGCTATGGTCTCTAAGCAAGAGAAACACTTGGAGTTGGTTCCTCTTCCTAGTGAAAAAAAGCATGTAGGGTGTAAATGGGTGTTCACCATCAAGCAGAAAGCAGATGGAACAATTGAACGGTACAAAGCACGATTAGTGGCCAAGGAGTTTACTCAGACATATGGAATTGATTACCAAAAAACCTTTGCTCCTGTGGCAAAGATGAATTCCATTCGAGCTATTTTCTCATGTATAGCTAATTTGGGATGGCCTTTACAGCAGTTAGGCATGAATTCGCATTTCTCCTTGGTGATTTGGAAGAGGAGGTATATATGGATGTTACCACCGGGATTCTCATCTCAGTCTATAGTTGGGAAAGTTTGTAGGTTGAAAAAGGTGTTATATGGTTTGAAACAGTCTCCTCGAGCTTGGTTTAACAGATTCCTGAAGGCTATGTTGAGATTCAGGTATAAGCAAAGAAATGCAAATCACATAATGTTTGTCAAACGTCATGCAAATAAGGTAACTGTGCTTATAGTGTATGTAGATGACATAGTTGCGACAGGTAATGATGAAGAAGAAGTGACAAATCTTAAGATGTTGGCCAAGGAATTTGAGATCAAAGACCTTGGTTCGTTGAGATACTTTCTTAGGATTGAAGTTGCCAGATCTGACAAAGGCATCTTTATTTCTCAGTGGAAGTATATCCTAGATCTTCTTGAGGAAACTGGCATGTTAGGCTGTCAACCTGCTGATTCGAAAATTGAGGCTAATCACCATCTTTGCAGTGGTGTTGGTGATCTTGTGGAGAAGGAAAGGTACCAGCAACTTGTGGGAAGACTTGTATATTTACCCCACACTCGTCTAGATATTGCCTATGTTGTTGGGATAGTGAGTCAATTTATGCAGAAGCCTCGTGCTCCTCATTTGGATGTAGTATATTGCATTTTAAGGTATCTTAAATCTGCTCCTGAAAATGGGATTTTATTTTCCAATAATGGTCACTTGAGGTTGAAGGCATTCACTGATGCTGATTGGGCTGGTTCTATAGATAACATGCGATCTACCTCCGATTACTATGCATTTGTGGGGGGAAATTTAGTCATATGGCATAGTAAGAAACAAACAGTGGTGTCCAGATCTAGTGCAGAGGTAGAATATAGGGCGATGGCGCATGGTACATGTAAATTGATGCGGCTCCAATCCTTATTGAAAGATATTGGGTTTATTTGCAGTGAACCATTAACACTATATTGTGACAACAAAGCTGCCATTAGTATTGCTTATAATCCTGTTCAGCATGACAGAACAAAACATATTGAGATTGACAGACATTTCATCAAGGAGAAATTGAATAAGGGTTGCATATGTATGCTTTTTGTGAAGTTTGCAGATCAATTGGCTAATGTCTTTATTAAGGGTCTTAGTAGTAAGGTCTTCCATCCCATTTGCTGCAAGTTGGGCATGAGAGATATCTTTGCACCAACTTGAAAGAGAGTGTTAAGTACTAGTGTGTAAGGGTTGTTATGTCATTTGTTCATTTTAGTCTTTTATTATAAGTATGTGTAACCCTAATATGTTCAGTATTGAGAAAATATACAGCAGCAGTGCTCTCTCTTTTCTTCCTCTCATTCTTTTCTTTCTTTTATGCAAATCTAACAGTTTGCTGTTGAGTTCATACCAATCACTCAGTTTCACATCATTATCACAAAACACAGAATGCCGAGAAATACATAAAAAAGAGGTACACAGCCTGATTATCTATTTTTAAAGAATAACCCTTTATGCTATGGACTCTCTCAAATGCTCAAATGTAAAGGACAGTTGAGATTGAGCTGTCTATGGAAGTTTTTTGGGTGGATATGGAAGTTACCACTACTTGACTGTATACTTGATTCAGTTTTCCATGGCAACAGGAATCCATAATCATTAATTTCTTATGCCATGTTGGATGGCAGAAATAAAGAGGAAAAATGGAAATCTTATTCCCTATCTCCATTCCGCTGTCTGGGCGAACCAAGACATGAAAGTTTATTCCGCATTAGCCATTGAAGAATCTCACTATTTGCGAATGAAAAAGAAAGGCAGCCCCACAATATTTAAAATTTTACACTTACATGAGGTTCATGAGTATTCCAAATGCTTGAATACCATTGGCATTTAGGTGGTTGGCAAAGCTTAGGCCCCGTTTGGGGACTTACTTTTTTAGCCAATTAGCCAAAAAGTTACTACATTAGCCAAAAAGTCAACAACTCATACCAAAAAGTCAAAGATTCTCTTTTCTTTCTGCTTTTTGCACATCTTTTCGTAATTAGCCAAAAAGTCATCCCAAACATACAAGTTTTATTTACCTACCTTTTTAGCCAAATAGCCAAAAAGTTACTAAATTAGTCTGTTCCCAAACGAGGCTTTAATTGCAGCTTAAAACTAGATTTAAAAAAAACATCTCAAACCTAGCTACAAACAAGTTGGTTTTTTTTTCTTTTTTTTTTTAAACTTAGTTTGACTGAAAAATCAAAGTTTAAACCTGAAAATACCAAACACGCCTAACTTATCAAACTATAACTGCTTAAGCACGAAACTTCAAATTTAAATTAAATAAGTTTCAATTTGCAAATAAGTTTTGCCAAATAGGGCCATAGAAATCTCATTACTGGTAATATGATTTCTGCAATAAGATTCCCAATCCAAGTCTTCCATTTCTGTCATCCAAACGGAGCCTTATATTTACGAAAAAGCAAATTGTTCTGATCCTGATATATTATCTTATAACTAAAGTAGTTACTGCAACAACAAAGAGAGCAACTTTAGCATTTGAGAAATCCTCATTTTGAGCATGTTGGTCCACCCGATTAATCAAATTTAACAAACAAGTACCTAAATTTCTGTCCAGGAAAATATCAAAGGTAAAACAGTCAAAAACATAAGCATATAGATACTGTTCTCAAGATTACCTCATGAGCAGCACTCCTAAGTGCCTGGAGCGGTTCCATACAATCCTGACCTATAGTCAGTAATTTCCTTCTTTTGCCTTCTGAAGTCCCAATAACATCATGTTTCTGCGTAGCTAATTCTTCAAATTGGTGTTGGAGGAGAGGTGAAACACCAGCCTGAAAAAATAAGATTTAATAGATTAGATTATTACACAGCAATCTTCATGTCGACAATTTCATTAATATGAAAACAGATAGCATTGGTGAAATGCAAAATAAAAACACTTCTCTTGGTTAAGTTCAGAAAAGGCCATAATGAACTAAACAAGATTTCAAAATCATGCAACTACTCAACAAAAAGTACAAATGACCAGCAAAGAATTTTACTCATCCACATCGATGAAAAGGACATATTGTAAGTCCAAAAAAGGGATATTTCACAACACTATATCAATATCAGTGTTTTAAAAAGCTCTAGGCGCATCGAGGCGCCAAGGTCACCTGGAGCCTAAGCGCCGAGGCACGAGGCGAGGCGCAAGTTATAGAAGTTAAGCAAAATATTAATATAGTACAATTTTCAACATAAGCAAATATTTAATATTTATATTATTAATTTTTTTAATAAGAAGATAAGAGAAGAAGAAAAAATAATAATTTTTTTTAAATAATGTGTTTCAATTAATTTTTTTATTTTATTTTATATACATGTGTTTATTTTTTTTATTACTATGTATAAATATATATTATATTTTATATATTATCTATAAGTATATTATATATTATATAATAGGTATTGTAGGTATTATATAATATTATATATATATATATGAATTAATTATATTTTATATATTAGTTATAAGTAGATTATATATTATATATTATATAATAGGTATTCTATAATATTATATATATATATATATGAATCAAGAAGATAAAAGAGGAAGAGACAGAAGCGAGAAGATAAAGAGGGGGAGACAGAAGCGAGCGAGAGAGAGAGATCGAGAGAGAGATCGCGATTGCGATCGCGAGAGAGAAGGCGACAGAGAGAGATCGTGATTGCGATCGCGAGAGAGAAGGCGAGAGAGAGAGAGCAATCGTGAGCGAGAGAGCAATCGTGGCCCTTCGTCATTGTCTTCTTCTTCTCCACTAGGTTTTTTTTTTTTTTTTCCTGCTCTTTTGACCCACGTTTTGATCATTTGACATTGTAAATGAAAATTTATTCCATGTGGGTATTTACACCAAAACCAGATGGGCTGTAGCAGTAGAAGAAATGCGAAGCGCCAAAAGCGCACGCCTCATCGCCTTAGCTACGCCTCCTCTATGTCGCCTCGCCTCGCTATGCATGAGGCGCAAAGCTGCGCCTCGCCTCGCCTTGAGCTTAGGCGCGCTTTTCAAAACACTGATCAATATCATTAATTTTTAAATATATATGTGTGTGTGTGTGTGGATAACAAATCATGGAAATTTTGCACGAAACTTTGTTCAAGTGTTAGTAGAAATAGTAATGCATAAGTTCTAGTCCAAATGTTGTGAATAAAATCTATATTTTACATTCATATATATAGTATGTATAGCATGACAAATATGGGCTGCATAATAAATAATACTAATGATTAAATTCTTAGAATATTTGATGATTTCAACACTTATCATGGTACAAATATAAGCACATGCAAATAAAGTTCAAATACATAGATTAAAATATATTTTAATGTAAATGATGAAGATCATGGAAAGAAGAAAAAGAGTAAATTTGAAATTTCACATGAACCACATTTAGGGCATCAAGAATTAGAGATTTGGAATTATTTTGACTATTCATGTCATTATAGTATGTTTTAGTAATTAAGGGTATAATGATAATTCTAATAATTGATGGACATGGGTTGTAGGGATCACCCATGGATTTTATTTTGAGTCAAGTTATTAAATGGGTTATTATATATAGGTTATATTATGTCTAAAATAATCTTAATGGTCAAAAGTCCAAATTTCCTATTTTAATATTGAAGTAGAATTAGAAATCATTAAAGTTTCCTATTATGATTGAAGTAGAATTGGAAGTCATACTTGGTCTAGAATATTAGTAGTTGCAAAATATTTTTCGTTTCTAAATTTGAGTTATAGTCTTTGTAGAATTAGAAGAGTTTTTAGCCTATAAATATATATGTAACTCAATGATTGAGAAGAAGAGTTAATATTATGAAAATTTGAGATTGTGCTTGTGTGATTGGCCTATCCCTTGTGAGGGTGAAGCACTTCTCTCTCTCTCTCTCTCTCTCTCTCTCTCCTCCTCCTCCTCCTCCTCCTCCTCCTCTTCTTCTTCTTCTTCTTCTTCTTCTTCCAGCGAGGTTACTGTTTACGTCACTATTCACAGTGCTTAGAACAACCACTCAATTGCCCCTAAACACTTGTGTTTTCATTCCCAAAACCATACCCTTTTACAAACCCTTAAACTCCTTTTTTTCAAATACTTTTGCAGCCACAAAATTCCACAAAATCTAGCCCTATAAGTCTATTGTTGCTGCTGCTGCTAGTATACTAAACCTGAGCTCACTACTTGCAGGAAAGTAATCTCATCTAGCCCTATAAGTCTATTGTTGCTGCTACTAGTATACTAAACCCGAGCTCACTACTTGTAGGAAAGTAATCTCTACTCATCCTACATCAGTAAATACACATGAAAATAGTTCAATACCAAGTGAACTTTCTAAGTGACTCAAAACCAGAGGTATTTTTTGTATTTCCATACAAAAGAGTTAAAGTCCCATTTGTGATTGTTCACGGTACTTTGCCCATACTTGTGTGCATTATGTACTATTATCAATACTACACGCTATCAATCAACAAGTTTTAAAATATGGCACATTATGCAAAAAGTAAAAACCAGTAATTCCTTGTGCTGTGAATAAGTACTGATAAATTCAGGGATCACAACAAAATTATGTCTTATAACATTTATTCATGTTACAGTCATCATGTTCCATTTTATGTTGATCATTTCTTTTTTTTCTAAACTTCTACTGACTCCTTACAATTTTCTCAAAATGAGCCTAATTTTCTCCCATTGAAAAACTTACCAGACTTAATAAAGGGTAGTTTAAATATTTCCGTAAGATCTAACCTGTTAATGTCATAATATATCTTCATTATATATCCAGAGTGGGCGCAATAGTCTGTGATTTTACAGCAACATTAAAGTGATATCATGCACTGTGTTTTATGATATATCAGCCATATTTTGTGATTTCACAACCTCAATAGAATACCGTATCACATATCTTGAAATTGCAATTTATCAGACGATGGATCGCAAATTTTTATATTTAGTTCCGTGGTCTCAAGTGACCAAAAAAACAAAACAAACAAGAAAATATATGGAAATATTACCCCTGCTAAATAGCGATGTGAAAATGTTTTAGGTTGCAATGGCTGTGAAAGCAGCATATTGAGGTCCTGCAATTGCATACATAATGGAAACTTTTCAGATGACATGAAAAGAAAATGAAGTTGCCCAAACTGTCAGATGCTTGCCAAATGTGACGAGCAATTTCAGTAACAGACGAAATAGCTAGAATTGGAATAAACCTGCTGCAGCTTCTTTAAATGATTGGAACTGGCCTTCTTTTGCTTATGACTATTCACGTGTTCCTCCTCGCTTTCATTATCCTCCACATCTAATTCAATTGCTTCAGCATTCCGTTCAAACCAACTTTTATTTGCCTTATCCTAGAAAATAAAAATAATTTTAAAATTAATTTAAGAATAAAAAAATGGGCATTGTAAGAACTATGTTAAAAGGTATAGCAGCTGCTAATAAAACAAAATAATAAGTTGGCATACAAATAAAATCAGTTAGAATAATGAGCATTCAGTTGATTAATACTCAAATATTGTAGAATTTATAATTTACAGAATCAGCAGTGAATTCAACAAATGATTTATTCTAAGACCTCCAACCCCTTGGCTTGTTTGGTGGTGGATTTTCTTTCGGACTTTTGGCTTTAGCTATTCTTGAAGTTTTTTATTCTGTGTTTTTATCTTTCTCTTCTCTCCGTCTGTTTCTTCACAATCCTTTTTGGTTGGAGACCCTTTTTCTCCCCTTATATGCTCCTTTTCTCCTTTAATGCACACATCTCTTATATGAGAGAGAGAGAGAGAGAGAGAGTATGTTCTCAAGAACACAGTACAAAAATGTAAGCTGTGTTTGGTACAGTTTTGAAAACAGTTTCATGTTCTCAAGTGTTAACAGGCAAAACAAAAAACCAAGACAAAAAACTCTTTTCATATGTTGTTTTCAGAAACTTGAGTTAAAAAGAACCACTTTTCTAGAAGCACCATAATGTTGTTTTCTGTTATCTTTCCTTAATTTTTTTAATTTTTTTTTTTTGGTTTTCCAGTTGGTAATACTAAAATGACCGAAAACACATCAATTTTTTTTTTGCAGTTTCTGAAATCATGTTTCTGAGAACGTGGCCACAGTAGCAGTCTTCGAGTTTATCTCCATGACCATACCGAGAAAGCAATCATTATGATGTTTCAGGTACTAATGTCAAATCCTAGTGCCACAACTATCAGAAAAACTCAAAACCAAACCAACTACTATTGGTTATTTGAACCACAACGTAGCAACAATCAATGTTAAGAACACTACAATCAATTAACAGTAGGTATTTAGAAAGTGGAGAGGAAACGACAATTATGAACAAAACTAACATCTGTATATTTAAGCTGAAATCTGCACAGCAAAGCATTTGAAGACTAAAAAGGGAAAATATACATCACAGAAGCTACAAGATCATACCATAATGCCATATTCAGCATAACTCTTTCGAGATAATTTAGTCACTCAACCCTGTTCGGTTACTCTAGAAGACAATTTAAAAACATGAAATGATAAAAGTGCATCTATAAACTGAGTTATGTGTCCACACATAACAATGATGTTACTGACAAATAAAAGGAATGATTACCTGCGAGTCCTTCCGCAAAATCTTGTCTATTTGGCGTGCAAGAGATAATCGTTTAGCAACCTCTGGCATGTACGAGATCTCTACAGGAAATCGCCGCAGACTTTCCTGGATACAAAAGCAGAGACCATTGCGATGCACGTAAGCCAAAAACTTAGGGTTAAGTGTAGACCACTAAATTGAACAATTATTTGGTTCAACACCCAAGCTCCAGATGACAATGTTAATTGCAACTGCTTACATAATTCTTTTTCCTTGACTGAAAAGATATGTATTGCTGAGCTATGAAGCACAGACACTTTCTCAGAGAAGTTGTGTCCATGTCACACTTGACACTTCATAGGACAAGTGAAGTCCTTGTCAGACATGACACTCCCTAATACTATGGAAAAATTCACAAAAGCATGGCTCATACATATCTGAATAAATTTAATTTTACACATGGCCAAAACAAGTCAAGCTCGCAACAAAATCTTTTAATGAGATATAATACAAGAGTAGCGATAGTAGTACACTAAAAAAACACCAAGATTCTATCATCTGTGAGAAAATATAAGCACAGGGGAAAAGGGCATGCAAGTTGGTGCAGGCTGGTCTAGTCATCTGATCAGACTAATTTTCAATGCTAATTTGCAGACCCTATGCAATGAAAATGTATGAAAGGTAAGACACAAGACTGTCCAAGCAGGATGCAAAGACCTTGTTCTGGAAGAAGATGGAGATTGCAAGGTTGGTTTGGTCAGATTGGTGGCAATATACATTTGATTGTTGAAAATTGTTGTTTTCCACATCTCTAGGACGTTTTTTTCCCAGTTCTAGTTGATGAACAAAATAACTTGACAAAAGTGGCATTTTTCGCATCTTCTTTCGGTATCTAATTTCCCTTTCCTGGCTATTTAATAATAAATCAGTTCCTACCAGTCGACATATTTTTCTCATGGAAATTATGCCCCAAAATTAAATAAACACCCATGTGTCTATTAAGTCATAAAGCAGATATATCAACAAATTTTAAGCCTTGCTCTAAGCAAAAATTCGTTTCAATCAAACATAAACATTAAGTCAGCTTTCAAGGTATCGGTTTATGACTAATCGCAGGAAGATGCAACAAGCAGCAAGGCAAACACTTGAGTGGTTTGCTTTAAAACCAAGAACTGTAGGTATAATTTGATTATGACAATCCAAGTTAAATAGAAAACATTTAAATCAACATAGAAAAAGTAATGTAGATCCAATCCATATTCCATAATAAAATGCTGATTCCCAGAAAGCTGAATCTTCCTTACGAAAACAGAAAGAAAGCTCAATCTGCACTGCACTCTTTTATCAAGTATAAATACATACAGAAAGTTTATACTTTTGACAAATTTAGGTCTCAGCGATTGTCGTTTTTATAAGTAAAATAAAATATATTAAAGGCACATCAATTCTCAAACAATAACTTTACAAAAGCAATACCTTAGAAAATGATTTGCACAAACTGGCAAATTTAGATCTATCATTTGGTGATATTAGAGCAATGCTACACCCATCAGCAGATGCCCTGGCAGTTCTTCCACTTCTGTGAACGTAGACCTGGCAATAAATTATATTCTTGTCAAAAAGTACAAACTCTAACAAAACCACAGAAAAGACCAAAAACAAGAAGAAGAAACACACACACACATACACAAACAAGAATAAAAAAACACAAAGAAAAAGTAGGAGGCTATTCAATTTACTTCTGCTGAATGTGGAAGTTGATAATGAACAACTGTTCGAACACCTGGAATATCAAGCCCTCTTGCTGCAACATCAGTAGCAACAAGTATACAGTGCTCATTTCCTCGAAAACGGTCAATTGCCTGCATTAAATACAGAAAAATAGATCAATAAGTAGAAGAATGGAAATAAAACCTGATGTCTACTCTGACAAAATAACAGTAATTGCAAAAAAAAGATAATAAAATTAATCAGGCTAATATTTTGAGTTTTCATCTTTCTTCTTTCCAGAATATTCCTCAAGAATAAGTATTAACACATAGTTGAACAAATACTCGTTCTCCCATCAATTTAAAAATAAAGTAACATATAAGGCGAGGAACTTTTTTATTTATTTATTTTTGGATAAGTATTAGGCAAGGAATTAAAATATGCTCAAAAGTTTTAGACTTCACAAGGGGAATTAATTCCCAAGAACTGCTGCTCAAAGGAGGCAGCAAAAAGATTAGAATCAAGTAAAAGGCATATGATTAGATGTTTCTTTCATACTGCAGAAGACGCTAACATAGTCATATCCAGATATTCATAACATGTAGAAAGTTAGAAACATTCAGAAGTCAAGACTTTCTCACATAATCAAGCAAAATTAGAAGGAACCTTTTAATTTGATAAGCACACCATTGTCATTTTTCATCGTCAAAAAAGAAGGCAGGTCTCTTCACGGAAGAAGAATTTGAAAAAGGACCTCAAATTCCATAATTGAGAAGCCGTTTTTTTTTTTTTTTGATAAATATTGAGAAGCCGTTTGACTATCTTCATTTAGTTTTTTCCTTTAGTATCAGTCATTTGGTTTTGTTCTTTATTATCGAACTACCACTTGCACATCCTTAATTAAACAATGCTGCAAAAAACAATGGTGCGTTAAACAATACAACAGTACGGCACCAATTACACAACTAAGAAACACATACACATTGACTGTCATAAAGTCGTTTGAAACTCCACTTGGGAAAAAAGTATCACCTTCTTGATAAGCTTAATAAATAAATAAATATAATAAAAAAGTGAAGCTTTTCTCCAAGTGGAGTTCCTGGCACATATGAAATATAAAATTCCCACTCTTTGAAGAAGTAAAGAAAATAAATATTAAATTCTATTAGCTAAATTAATTAGCTAAGTTTTAGGTGTAAACTTCTCAAAGTTGGATCAAGAGATGCCAAATCAAAAGAAAATCACACTTCTAGTAACCTTGCTGTATATGCCATATCCAAAGTCCAGAAATTATAAGAATACTAAGCTGGTAAAAGTAAAAAATTTTGAGTAACATGATATATCATCATACCAGACTTCTCATATATGGAAAAAAATATGGTATCTAAAATTCCATATAACTACCAACAAAAGGAAATACAAACCTTCAAGCGAGCTCGCTGCTGCATCTGAGCATGAAGTGTCCAAACATTAATTCCAAGAACGCGCAAGAGGGAAGAAGCATGGCGTAGAGCTGCAACTGATGTGCAGAAAATAATTGTGCGTCCTTGTCCATGAACACTCAGTATATAATACAAATAGGCATCTTTGTCTTCCTCCCTGCATCTGCAACCCGTTATGCATAAGTATTGCTTCATTGGAGAAGTCGTTATGCACAAAATAAAGACATGTGGATATAAATAAATGACATATTCTAGACACAAAAAGCCCAGAAAATTACACTGCAACGGATGCACATAAATGTCAACAACCAATATTTGAACACGGTGTCCCGACACATAGAAATATATACTGAAAAACAGGTATGAAAGCCAACACCATTTTGGATAATGCAATCTGAAATACAAAACCCTGAACTTCTAGGACTGTAAGGAGACACAATGACCAAGAATGCATAAAGAGGGACGCAGCCAGATAATTGTAGAATTTTTATGTGTAGGCTAGACATTTAAATCAAGACAGCCTAAAAGAAATTCACTTCATCCTTTACATGAATGAGTGACAATACCCAATAAGAACTTATTAGAAGACATTCTACTCCCCTAGGATAAGGTAGAAGCAAGTCTCATGCACCATGGATGGTTACACAAAAGCACTAACATATGTATAGTCATAAGCAAACCGAGATGTACAAGAAACTACAATTCCCAGTGCACTCCGACCATTTAAACCAGCTATATTCCTCTTAGAAAACATGAATATGCAACTACTTCGCACTGCAAGTGAGAAAATGTAATCAACTTACAAAGAGGATAAATGAAACTAATGTTTTCACTAATTAAGCTATTTAGCAATTAAATATAACAGTATCAACTTTTTTGAACTGCTTTGCAAGTTTCTAAACAGGTATTAAATATTGTAGGAGTGCAAAAATTATGCCATTTATCAAATTTAAATGAACAAAAAAGCCCAGGATTAGTTCAAGACAATTCCAGTCCAATTCAGCACATGTCCATGAAAGAAACTGAAGAACAGGAAAATAAAATAACAAAGCATATATATAGATGGAAGTCTGAATGAGGCCCACAGTTACTGTCCAAAATATCAGTTTTGTCTAACTAAAAAGTTCAATTGCCACATATCAGACAAAAAGAGAGGTATGTACTCAATAAATGACTCCTCGAGTTTATCTGCCACAATTGATGCATTTGTTAGATCGACAATAGCAGCATTCGCTCTCATTCCAGCTCGTTCAGAGAGAGTTTCTATAGAATTTAACCCATCATTCATCGATTGCTTTGATTTTAGTGATCCATGCTTTAGCTTCTTCCGGAAATCAGCAGATAGGGATAGGGTTGCAGAAAACACAAACGTTTGTCTTTTCTTTCTCTGGAAGCTTGAAACTGTCACACAATTCTGTGTATTCTGAGGATGCCCTTCATGTGAGCCACCGGTCATCGGAAGCAAGTCAATTATGGACTGCAACTCATGAAAATGACCATTCTCTATCATTCGATCAGCCTCATCCAGCACAAAGAAAGACAGTGAATGTAACTGCACAAGCAAAAATGGGAGTCAGAATTATTCTGGTCAATTTGATGTCAGATAAGAAAGCAATGGATGTTAGTGACTTTATCTCCGCAAGTTTTTAAAGAGAGATAAGAACTCCAATAGCATGCTGGGTACTAGGTTGAGGGAGATGATATTATATAACAAGTTCTGTTCAGCTTATCTGAATAAAATCAAGAACTGTAGGATTTTATTGGTGTGATGATTATATTGCGCTGTGGAAGTGGCTGAAGTATACAATGGTGCTAAACAATAAAGATGGAGATGTTAGAGGAATCAGACATAGTAAGAGCTGTAGAAAAAGTTGTTGGATCACCAATTATTCCAAAAACTTACGCTGTAGAAAAAGTTGTTGGATCACCAATTATTCCAAAAACTTGCGCTGTTAAGAAATGGGTCCAACAATATATATCAAGCTATCCAACACCCTCTCTCACATTGCATACATAGAGAGAAGAGAATGCAAACAATAGAGAATGAATGCAAATGGGACAAAATACAAATAGAGAGACTTGAACCCAAGAGATCCACGCAACCTGACCTCTTATACGATGTTAGATCACCAATTATCCCAAAAGCTCAAATTGTCAGGAAATGGGCCCAACAATATATATCAAGCTATTCAACATGACAGCGGAGTATGAGGTGGAAACAGTTGAGAGTTGCATCCCCTCAATGTCCTTTTAATGAAACCTTTATTACTTACCCAAAAAAAAAGGAGGACGGAGACGGTTGAAATGGTAGTAATAGTGCTTTGAGATGTCCTGAAAATCTGACGTGAATTGTGGTGTTTCCCTGATTCATAATTTGGACTGCAATTTCGATTGTCAAGCATACTTCTATTCCTTCTATGAGAATTCGACTTTTTTTAACATATGTTCAATGCTGATTCTAAATGCTCTTTCACAAATTTAAATTTACCAACTCCAATTGAAAGAAATCCTTTGTTACTTAAATCACTAATTTTGACAACTTCATCAAGAGGTAGGTAGAGATGGCATAGACCCATCTTTGTAATTGCACCTTACCTTCGCAATTCAGGCCAAAATGTTCTTCTCAAATTTCTTCCTACTCAGACTTTATTTTTCAACCCAAAGCCTAGGCAACTCTCAAAGGAACTCCAACTCCGCCACAAGCAGGATTAGGTGGAAGCTCACTTTAAACAGTCTCTCTCTCACACAATACACACATAAGCACATGTGCCGGCACACATGCAAATATTAATCCTAGCAATATACCAACTTTTATGTCTTGCTTTAAGTTTTCCATCTTTGTTCATATTGTCTATTCTTTAAACATGCCTATAACAAAGATTAACTGGTCTAGTAGACCTAGAATCTTTATTTTGGTTCCTTTTTCCCTTCATTTTGGCATTATCCTTCCAATACTGCAAGCATCCTTGGCTTTGACATTTATACATTATCTTGCAAAAGCTAAAACGTTATTGACAGAAGTATCGTACAGAATTTATAAAATAAAAAAAATAATTTTAATTATGTTCCATTTTTTTACTTGTTTATAAAAATAAGCATTCTAACCCTCTGGTAACACTGTTTAACAACCACTGCAGTAGGGGAGGTCCCTACCGATTTTTGAAAACTTCAATGTCAAAGTGTCATAGTCAAGAATGTATTTCTCATGGGAATAAATATCCTCAAATGGAAACTATCATTTGCAACTCATGTTCACTTAACTACTTTCACCAAAACAGATACGGTAATTTTACTGCATGCATGTGTGAAGAATTTATAATTAGTTTCGAGTCTTATATACTAAAAGTAGAGAATCAACCAGGTACTTCAAAGTAACGGAGTCATTTTCTGCAGATACTCAAGAAGGTCCAACTAAATCTCTGAGGCTTACCATAAGAAACATTGAATTTAAGAAAATATAAGTGCAACTATTATTGAACAATTTGTTTAGTGAACACAACATAAAGTAACGATTATTATTGAATGCTGATGGAGTGCTGACATGAACCCTTTGTACATATACACCAGTCTATAGTTTGCATTAGCACTAACCTCAATAAGATGAAGTTCTCCACCAGACATAAGTTCCCATAGCCTCCCTGGAGTTCCAACAACAATCTCAGGCCTTGCTTTCAGAAGTCTTTCTTGTTTTTCCGTTGACATCCCACCAACAATTGGAACCACCCTAAAATTGGTACCTTTAGCCACTTCCTTAAGATGATCGGTAACCTAGAAAAAACAAAAACAAAAACAAAAACAAAACAAAACAAAACAAAAAAAAAAAAACACCTTAAAAACAGAATCAACAATTAGGATGAAAAAACCTCTAATCTAACAGCTAGTCTGAAAACCATGAGGAAACTAAGTCTATCAAAATAAGCTTAGCAGCATATTCAGATATTTTCATTTTTAACAAGAAGTTCAGCAGTTTGAAATCAGATCACCCATTTTGAAAAGTCAATTGACCCATTTGTTGAGTTTCTCAAACAGCCCCCAATGGTCATACGGCAGTTGTAAAACAATACTGCTAGGTAGTTTTCCTACTGTCTGTTTGATGCCAACAACATAACATCATGTCATCAAGCACCATGAAACTCCGAAGCAACCTTCTTTTGCTGTTCATCAAATTTTACCAGTCAAATTCAGCCAGAATTAAAACAGGTGGCCAAGTTTGAGTTCCCAAAACAGCCTTAAAAGAAATGCACCAGCAACAAACACAAATTGCAAAATTATATTATTTTATAGAACCCATGAGCTTCCAACTTTACAAAAACTGGTGACAAAAACCATAACAGAAAATCAAATCATTTAAGCCCTAAACAAAAGGAAACAACCAACGAATCAATGTGTACCTGAAGTGCAAGCTCTCTTGTAGGAGTTATAATAAGAGCCCGTAAGAGACGACTTGGAGCAATTTTTTCAGCTGCCTCTCCCTTTTCTACAAACATATTATCAGCTTTTTCTCGCTCTTCGAGAAGACGTTGAAAAATGGGTAAACCAAAAGCAAGTGTTTTCCCAGATCCTGTCTCTGCAGCCCCAATGACATCCTGCCACACGAATTTAATACGATGATTATCATGCCATATGTTGCCGTTTATCAATTTAACACCTTTAGGTTGTGTTTGGATCATGGATTTGGGTAGGGATTTGGAAAATGAAAAGAAAACGCAATAGAATTGGAGAAAAAAATTAGCTTACATTTCATTCACATTTCCTTTTCCTTTTCCTTTTCCTTTCCAAATACCTTCCCAAAGCAATGATCCAAACAGAGCATTATAGAAATGAAATCAACCTTTCCTTGATGAGCAGCTGCAGGAATACAAGCTTTCTGTATTGGTGTTGGTTCTTTAAACCCAAGACTATATATTGCTTTCATAAGCAGGGGAAGTAGCCTCAGTTCATTCCAAGCGTAATATTCGGCTTCATCAACTGAATCTCCTTCAATATCATCCTTGGGATCACTGACTTCTGTCACAATTTAATTTTGTACAAAAAAAAAAACACTCGTTCAAACTGAATCCAAAATACAAACTATCTAACAAATTTAATCACTTTATGAAGCAGTCTGCACTATCTCATAAACTTAACTTTAAGATTGACCCAGAAATTGATAAGTGGCAGACTCATAACAAGTACATTTGTAGTGAACCAGAACCAAAATATTACCAAATCATTTCTATATGAAAAAAGAGATCAAAACTTGTCAACCTTAAATGCTTTCCCAACCCAAAGATCAATAAATTACCATTAATATGTAGAGAGACAAAAATACACCAAATTGTGATTTATCTAGCACAGAAATGGATAAATACTAAAGCATTGACATGTTCAGAACAAAATCTATAAGAAACCTTAACCTCAATCTAATCAAACAAAATTTTATACTGATCCACAAATTTACTAAAAAATAAATAAGCAGAATTACAATTCTGACTCAAATTATTAAAAATTGAAGAAAATTCAAAACACTAACCAGCAGTTGGTTCTTCATTTTCCTCAGAATTCTTTGCATCCTTGTTCTCCTTTTTCTTCTTCTTCTTTTTCTTCTTTCTTTTCACTTTATTATCCTTCTCTTCACTTACAGCTTCAACCTCACCACCAAGCTCATCCTCAACTTCACTTAGCTTCCTTTTTTTCTCATTTTTATTTTCTTTAGTCCTTTCTTTCTTGTTTTGTCTCTCAGGTTTAGGAATTTCCAAACCATACTCAGATTCATCAATCTCTTCAAGCGATAGAAAACCTACATTCACAACCAATATATATATATATATATATCATCATCTCTTAAAATTTCCAACATCAACCCCTGTTTGGTTGCCGAGAAAATGCAGGAAACTAAAAGAACTCAACTTTTTAGAATTCTGAAGCATGTGCACAAAAACTAACAGAAACCCATAACGAAAAAAAGCATGAAAACCCAAAATTTTCGTTTAATTGAAATTGAAAACAAAACGAACCTCCCTCGAGTTCGCTAGAGCCAACGGAGATAGAGAAAGGGTCGTCGTTTTCGGAGAGAGAAGAGTTCCATGGAAGCGAGTCGAAGCGGTCGAGCTGTTCAAAGCCTTGTCTGGGTCGCTTTGCCTTGTTTGGTTTCTTCTCTGAAGCCATGACCAGAGCTCAGAGCTTACAAACACGGTCGAACGGCGACCCTTTTAGGGCTGCACGAGTGTTAAGGAAATAAGGAGAGCATAAACACCCCCCGAAAATTTTTCCAATTACAACTCGCCACACGTTTGTATGGGATGGTGGGCAGTGATTGGAAAGGGCTCTATCAAAGTATTTTTATCAAAATTTTTATTAAGGTTAAGTTTGGCAGGACCTAAATGATATAAAAAGTTAAAAAGTCATTATCTTATTTAAGTCACATCATCTTATTTAAATCGTATCATCTCTCTAACATATCACATCAAATCCAATCTATTTAAGTCAATAAGTTAAAAAATGCACTTTTTTAGAACATCTCAAACCAACCCTAAATGTCTTATATAATTGGGTCTGGCTTTGGTCCAGTCTACGATCAGACTGGACTGTGTTGTTAGACCTGTGGGGGTCTATCACGGGTCCCGTTTTGAAAATCTGAACCGTTAATGTGTAGAACTCGTCAAATATTATATGTCTATAGAAAATCAAGTTGATCGGATATCGATAGTTATATGATCAAAAGAGTTTTTTATCAACCGTTAATTTACTCACCGTCTATTTTTTTTTATACAAAACTCATTTGATCACATAGTTATCGATATCCGATCAACGTGATTTTTTCAAACATATAATACTCGACGAGTTCTACACATTCAACGGTTCAGATTTTCAAAACGGGACCCATGATGGGCCCTCACCGGCTCAACAACATGGTCTAGTCCAATCTTAGACTAGACCAAAGCCAAACCCAATATAATTTACATGAGAGTCTCATATTCATGTAGTTGATAAAATTTTTGATAGAATATTTAGGTTTTAGCATTATGCGAGCATAAAAGGAAAAAAAAAAAGTACACCCAGTCATGCAGGAATTAAAAAATGATAAATTACAAATTTATTTTTTGAGATTTATTTAAAATACAAATTATTTTTTTGTGATTTGAAAATTTATAAATATTTATTGTCAAAAAATTCTATTTATCATAATTAACTGAAAAAATAAAATTTTTAACCATTGTCCTATATAATAATAAAACTATCTAAATTATTAATTGAAATGAAATTTTAACATCATTAAAAACTATTAATTAATTTGATATTTTATTAATAAAATGGGTTATTTGTTATGAAATTAAAAACCTTAGGGAACGGGATATAATTTTTAGAACCACATAAAGTAATTTGTATTTTAACTAAATCTCAAGGGATGTATTTGTAATTTATCCTTAAAAAAAGGAACAAAGAAAAGGACAAATTTTACTTTGGTCTCGTATGTTTGATTCCATAAAATAGAAGAGATTATGAATCTGATGGGATTAATTGAAGAGTTTATTAATATAGTGATATTAAGTTAAAAATGTAAGATAAAAATTATTTATTTGTGCACTACCAGATTAGTAATATTATAAATAGTATTAATATATAAAATTAATATTTTAAAATTTTTAGTAATTTTTTTAATATTATAATTATTATTTTTTGTTCTAAGAATATAATTTTTGCTTAAAAATCATTTAAAAATTCACTAATCCCTTTACTCAATTTTTAATCTGAACCTTCCCATAACTTTGTTAGTCCTACTACATAAGGGGATTACTAGTCCAAGCTTGAAAAAAAATAATATTAAAAATATTTTAATCTATTTTATTTAATATTTTAATCTATTTTATTTAATATTTTAATCCATTAATCCTATCACTAAATTTCTAATTCCATATGTTTTCCTTCCATACTAGTCCAACCAAGAAGGGAGATTACTAGTCTCATTGGGGCCCATTTATTTTCAGAAGTAGGTTAAGTAGGATTGTTAGTAAGAGGATTATTAGTGAAAGGATTGTAAGGAACTGCCAGTGAGGGGGCTAAGAAAAATTGTATTTGTTTGATAACCAGTGAATTATGTCATGCCCTGACTTTTATTATTCGAATTTATTATCAAGTTCATTATAATAATACCATTTAGTTGAGAACATGAACAAAAATAAGAGATAACATTTTCTCACGATAACAATGATGATATAAATAGAACATGACACAATACCCTTAGGCTTACATTGAATGACAATAATTAAAACAAAAGGGATTTACCCTTATACAATACATGGTACTTGGCCTACGAATAAAGGGCCTCGTGGCCAACAATTTAGAGACTTCAAGTCATGAATAATCCTCCAGCCTTGTACTTGAAAAAGCTTATCAACACGTGGGATAAGCATTAAGCCCAGTAGAGACCCCGAAGATCTCAACCAATCACAACATGTAGATAAAAATGATCATGAATGCATCAAGACATATCACATAAGTAGTGTGACATTTAATATCCAAAATATACTCATATAACTGTATTTTCTCAAAAACCCCCTTGACACAATTCAGTATAGAATCATTTCTTCTCTTTCACATTCCCATCATTACTTCCAAAAGAAAATGTTTTAAAATCTCATTCATTCTTTAATAAAACTTCCCATGTTAACATAAAAGAATCTCACTTAAACAACCATTCTGAAAATACAACCCTACATGTAGATCATAATCCCCATCTTCCTTCTCAGTACATCATAAGCCTTTACATCCCAATATATATCTACAACATTTCCTAACCATAGGCCCAAGGATTTAAAGGTGATTGGTTTGAAAACCGTTAATACATATATTCATTCAAACGAGATAACTGAAGTAATACATACTACCAATCTCATCTCCATAATATGAAAACCGCCAACACACACACCCTCCTTATAGTCTATGTAATCAACAATGGACTCCAGGCTACCACCCACATTCGAACAACAACCATCCAACACACACACACACACACACACACACACACATATATATATTCAAAACAAGATAACTGAAGTAATACATACTACCAATTCCATCTCCACCGACCTACAATACGGATAGCAAATTCTACAATACCAATAACACATAACACTTTACCGGCCTTACTTGGAAGGAGGTGCTTTTCAAGTCATACTTTACCAGGCGCAAATCGGAAGGAAATGAAGAACCTATTGCGCCACGCTTTGCCAGCTAAGATACGGCAGGAAATGGACCGCTTTTCACACTTTACCAGGCGCAAACCAGAAGGGACGAGGAAACCTCTATCAAGGCGCCACGCTTTGCTAGCTCAACACAGCGGGTAACAGACCCCTAAACATTATCACAATAAAAATATAACCATGCTAATCAACATCAATAATACACAGTGTAATACATACACCTAGTCCGATCGCCTCAATAACAATCACTACCAGTTAATCACATTAACTCATCTCTTTAAAATGTACTCTGTGAATCACAGTTCCACACGGGTTTTCCTCAATTTCAAACATTCCCAAAACACATCATGGAAACATCAAGACATAATTATTTAACAACCGTCTTTCAACGGAAACAACATTTACAAACATTCCACTGCCATTTTAACAACATAATTCGTAACTTAACAATGGAATTGTCTATTTACCATGTTCATTTATCAATGACAACACATCGTGTTACATCGCATAACCCATCCTACAATAGTACTTATAGTCCTTATCTAGCAACAAGCAATACTATCCTCCATTGATAGCCAAGGACAAAACGCTAGACATTAATCACATAATTCAAAATATAAATACACCCTTAGGTAATTCCACATTCCCGTTTAACGCAAACCCGCACGTTTTATAAAAAGGGTAATTAGTTCCACTTTGTTTTGAAAATACAATCTTACTACTCCAAATCCTAGTAAACACCACAATGGCCACATCCACTAATGTTAGTTCAAAACCCAAATTATTCATAAACAACCACATCATATTCTCATTTCTATTCAACATTAAACTTCTCTTTGATATTCCAAATTAATAAACAATATATCAAACCTTTCTAATTTATATCCTAAACATGATTTGTAACCCACAACCAATTATACACAAACCCACAACTCACCATTTTAAACCCAAATCCACCCATATGCTTTTTAACCAAAAACCAACAATAAACTATGTTTTTAAATGCCATCAAAATTACCACAAGTCTATCTATGGTGAAGTATTGAAAAGAAACTCAAGAATACTTGCCTCTTGAAGGGAAGAGGAGAAAAGCCAAAAACCCACTACCCATGAAAACACGATTCGCTCAAATTAAATCGAAGCCCTTGTGGCCATCTACGTTTTGATCTATAGAACTAGGGGTATAAAATGGGTGTAACTAGATGAAACCCAAGCTTTTAGGTCTAGGAAATCCTAAAAATGGCGAAAATAGAGAGAATAGAGAGAGAGAGAGAGAGAGAGAAAAGCAAAAAGTGTCTTTTCCAGCGTGCTATGGCTTTATATAGACGTACAGTCCGCTCGAGCGCAAGAAGTAACGTTCGAGAGTCCAAACACAAAAAGTGTGACCACTTGAGCGCAAGAAGTGTTGCTCGAGCGTTGAATACAAACTCTCAAAAGTTTTACAGACAAGTGACCACCGCTCGAGCACAAGAAGTACTGCTCGAGTGATCACCGCTCGAGCGAAGAATGACAACTCCCAGTATCTTTGCAGACCTGCAAAAGTACTGGAAGTTCACAATGACCGCTTGAGCGCAAGAAGTGCTGCTCGAGTGTAGAAGAAAAAAACAGTTTGAGAAACAAGTCACCAACCTGTCCCCAACGCAACCAAGACACTTCAATAACCAAACCCAATGAACAATGAGTAGAGGCAAGACATGAACAATCAAAAAGGCAATGAAAACCCGGATCCAAAACATCCACGGGTCGGATTCAAACTAGAGTCGCTATAGACTAGCAATAGTTCCTATTTGTTTTGATAGATAAGAGTGGGATTAACCATATAAAATTTCAAAAAACCTTTGTTGCATTACTATCAAATTTGAGTTTATACCCACTAATAAATGCATAACATATTTTAATATTAAAAATTATATTTCATAAATATATATATTTTTGGTACTATTTTATTTTTTTAGTATAATTTTTTTGGTATAAATATTATTATACTATTTTTATATTAAATTATTTTGATATAATAGTGGAGTAAAAAATGGTGGAATAATTAAAAAATGATAGAAAAAATACCATACTAATCAAGTAGAGTAA